GTTGTGATTGTCGCTGTTCTTGCAACCTTGTTTGTTGCTCCTTCTGTTCTTCTCGTTATGACACATGTAGTAGGAATTGCATCAGATCAGCCATGGAAGTCTCCCCTAGCCTGGCCTGGCTTCTGGTCTCGACACCTTCACCCTCCATCTTGACCAATATCTCACTGCTAGGTTATCCCTAGTAGGGCCGGAGTAACCATGAGCCTCAGGCCCCCAGACTCTTAGGGGCCCCTAGATTCTAAGGATAAAAATATTTAGCTATATATGCCATTAAATGGTCAATTAGTAAGTAAGCCATTAACTATTTCGTTCTTAATGTGTCCAATGTCAGGAGTAGGGATTCCCTACTCCTGACATCAGTGTTACAACCCTCCTTTCACTGCTTACCCAGCTTCTACCGCTGGTACTAGTGGCCAGGGTAGTATGTACAGAAGCAGTAGATATATCACAAGTATTGTCGAATTACCATAGGCTGTCCCGCCAGTCTCCGGTAATTCCCCGACGATCGGTATCAGTGTACAAACAAGCAACAGGCGGGTAGATTTCCACCAGGTCACAGAAGCACACTTATGCACTGTAGTCTTCTTTAATAAACAATGATTCTTCACAACACTGTTAACAGGGTAATCAGGGCCGGTGCAAGATGATTTGGCGCCCTAGGCAAGCCTTTAGATGTGCGCCCCCTTGAAAGTTTTGATAAGCTAATGTAGGTACAGTAACCCATTACTACATTGTTTCTAACTCTCCAAACACCACTGATAACATAATTTTCATCTTGTGGCTTTATTACTTCATCCATGCAAATAACCAATTATTGTTATTACATTAAGTCAATAAATCCTTGACGTAAATGTCAATGAAACAATTTTTAGTTATTTTTTTTATTTTAGGGTAATCTTTAAAAAATAATAACATAAGCATTTAGCTCGCTCCAGCCTCCTGCGAGTTATAACCTACTATTATTACATCATTATTATATACATGTAGTGCAAAATAAGATACTTGTGAGTTGTGACCAGTCATTGGTCGGACAATATATTAAATTGACATCTTAAGTATAAATAGAAAAAGCTTAATGGAGAGATGTAACAGTTATGAATAAAAATAATTGCAACTCTGACCAAGCCACATTAAAAAATTATTTACATTTACGTCGTGTACAATAAGCGTTCACCCATTTTATATTTAATGATGTAAAAAAATTTGTAATACATTTGGTTTGTTTCTTGGTATTTGGTTTTGAGCTCCTATTGTACGCTATTACTACCTATATAAAACATATTAATTTGTTAGGTGAATTTTATTTAGTGTATGTGTTGAAATTACATTATATAGGAGCTTATTGTAGACGATATTATATGACAAAAAAATAAGTATATAAATAAATAAGTCTTTTATTGTAATAAAAATTTAGTGGACAATTATTTGTAATGTTGACAATCGTGAAACTGGAGATTAGCTTTTACTGTAATGGATACATAACCAAATATATTCTACAAAACATATATCAAATTATTGTTGAAAAAAATACAATCACTAGTACACACTCACGCAGTACATACGTCCACTAGTACACATCGTAACACACGTATGATAAAACTTGACGAAATGACGAGAAGCACTAAGATTGAAACAAAGACTCGCTAAGGTGTACAGCATTATAGACAGAGTACAAGATAAATCAAATAACTACATACTATAAAAATAATAAGACAGTTTCAAGTTTCAACTTACTGTTTAGCAGGATAGCCAGCTGTTGAAGTTGTTGCCACTGCACCACACTTTTGGAGATGACTGACTCGGACTGAAGTGGCCTGGTCACTGGTGTCTGTGAGTAGTCTGGACAGCTTGAATCTTGATCTCCAACTAATCAAGTTGTTCCAGGTTACTATTTGCCTGGCGGCTGGCGGCTCTGGCCGCTGGCCAGTCTCAGTGGGATTATGTTATGCGAGGTCAAACTTCAGAGGTTAGGTAACCTTGCCTCATCCCGACAAAGGCAGGGAAGGGGCGGCTCAGCCGCCCTGGCAGTAAGGGAGGGGAGGGGATGGTGGGGTTGGGAGAAGGGTTCCTCAGATGTCAGCCTTCAGGTCACTGCTCGACAGTTCTCCTGGCCGCTGAAGGACAGGACCCGGGTTAGTTCCTCCGGGGGGTTAACGAATATTAAAAAAGAAAACACAGTCGGCTACCGTCTACCTACCCTCGCCTCCCTCCGACCCCCCACCCTTCTAACATCCTGCTCCGACCCTCCACGGCTCCACCACAGTTTTCCCTTCATTTTTAATTTTATCCAAGTTTGCCCTGAATTTGTGGCGCCCCCAGATGTTGGCGCCCTAGGCGATAGCCTAGTTCGCCTAGTGGGTAGCGCCGGCCCTAAGGGTAATGTCTTCACAGCTGGATTTCTCACTTCGAATATACAGTCAGCACACTACCAGTGTACAATTCCTTCGTCTTTTCACTTTTGCATTGCTCACAACAATTCCACAATACTTGCTCAACAATTATCTTCAGTTGTTCCACTAGGCCTATTCTTTTCACTCTGAGCAAAAACAGTTGACTGACTGTCAGCTGCACACTGTGGCTTACAGTACATACCTCGATCCCACAACACCCTAGCACAACCCAGAGACGCCTGGGAGGTTCTAGAATGTTCTACTCTAATCGAGGTTTACAATAAGAAGAAAATCCCAACAAAAATGATGCCATACATTCTAGAATATTCTTGCATTGGTAATACATCAATATATACAAGAAAACCTTCCGAAACTTGCCAAAATACTGTTGCTTTGGACAAAATAGTCAAAGCACCTAGTTTACCAACACTATACCAAATTATGCCTCCGCATAACACTAATGATAATAATAATAATAATAATAATAATAATAATAATAATAATAATAATAATAATAATAATAATAACCAACGGTTTAATGAAAGAACATGGCAGCCAGAGTTGAAAATATACAGTCAACAGAGAGGATAAAAGTTACATAATTGAGGAATGGATCACTTGATTGACAATTAATTTACTAGTAATATAAGTGGTACAAATATAATATATAATGACAAGGAAGGCGAAGGGTAAATTAACAAGGAATTTCAGCAGTTACAGTACAAAAGTGAGATTGGCAGTGAGTGAACGATGGGTTAACTACAAGTTGTCGATAATTTTTACAATGGTTGGGAATTGGGCTCAAATTACAGCAATTAATACATGGTCATATGGGATAGATGTAGTTGTAGTGTTAAACGGCAACCTGCGGACTAGGGATCTCGAGTGGAAGTAGGAGACAGTGTTGAGGATGGTGCAGAAGTTTCTCCCCAAACTTGCAGATGAGGTCGTCATGATCAGAGACTAATCTTGCATGCCCTCTTTTGTACTTTTTCTATGTGTTTCCGTTGTGTGGCATTTAGGGAGGAAGACTAGGCAGGGGTGAGTTTAAGGCAGTTTGAATGTTGAGGAAGCACTGAAAAGCAGAGGAGGTAGAGACGAAAGCAGGAAGACTGGACAATTGCACTGACGTGTGCTTTCCAATTCAGCTTATCAACAACAGTGATGTCGAGGAGCTTGATGGAGTCCACAACCTAGAGTGTGTTGGGGCTCAGTATGATGGAGGGAAGTGGGTCATGGTTGGTGGAAGGTTAGTGTGCATAACCATGGTATGGTTGATGGTGACATGGTTGTTGGTGATCCAATTTTGGAGATTGTTCAATATATGCTGGAGGGCAGTGCAGTCGGGAGTGGAGTTGTTCACACTGATCCCAATGGTAGTGTAATTGACATATTTCCAGCAAGCAAGAGTTTCTCTCAGGGCATCATAGATGAGGATGAGGAAGCAGAGTAGTCCCATCTTGGTGCCTTCGGGAACACTTCAGGAGTGACTGAAAAGTAGAGACAGCCCCTCAGAAGCGTACGGCTTGGCGTCGGTCACTAAGGAAGTCTGTAAGCCATGGTATAAGATCTTCTCTGAAACCCGAGGTAGATATCTTTGATGATGGTTAAATTGTGGTCGACTAGGTTGAATGTCTTGGTGAAGTCAATGACGGCGACAGCCATAGGCTTCTTGTGTCTTGTGTGTCCCCGTGACAACCAACGAAACTGCCGTGTTTTCAGAGGTAAATAAAGTACAATTGTCAGCTCTGGAAATAGTACCAGCCAGCACGAGTTCACACTTTACTCAAGCCTAACAAGTCTTTTTTGGGGTGGGTGGGAGGGGATCACCTACATGTCAACCCACCAGTTTATTTCACCTGAAGATCAATTCTAACCCGACTTAACCTAACCTAACCCAATCCAGTCTTGCCCAACCTAACCTAACCCAACCCAACCTTGGCCAACCTAACCTAAACCAACCCAAACTTTGCCCAATCTAACCTGACCTGACCTAACCTCACCCAACCTAACCTAACTTAACCTAACCTAACCCAACCCAACTTATTAAGGTTTTATGTTTACTGTACCTGAAAATACAACCAATTCTAGTAAGATTGACATTGATATGAATTTCTTCCTATTGTGCAAATCTCAGAAGCAACGCCCTAGTTAATTTTAACCTCACCACTGAAACAACTTGTACTGCTCCACCAAATAGACCTAAATGAACAGTTACAGTAACATTGTTTTACCAACCCAGTACACCAGGTCAGGGTCTAGCACTGTCTTTCCTACCAAGTTACTTGTAATGTTTATTCTGTGTTGTCATATGAACAAAAACACTGACTGTACATAATATTATTCTTATTTTTCACAACACTGAAAAATGTAGAGATGTCAGCAGGGAGGCCAAGTTGCGTCCCTATGTTGGTCGGTCGGTGTGGACTGTATTGAGTTTATGTAACAAGAACTCCCTGTATTAAGTCTATGTAACAAGAACTCCCTGTATTAAGTTTATGTAACAAGAACTCCCTGTATTAAGTTTATGTAACAAGAACTCCCTGTATTATGTAACAAGAACCACCAATACATAATTCAATGATAAGAATGAAGATTAAAACAAAAATCTATATATAGATAATAATCAATTTATTGGACTAGATGTATCACTACACCTCAATAATACTTTATATATAAACTCTAAGACAATAATAATAAATCAACATACATCATCATCACCTATACAACACCTGTGATGAGGCATTATATACACTACACCTGTGAGAATATTCTTATGCTTTGTGGATAAAATTTGGGCTCAATAAAAACAGGATTTAGGAGTTTTTGTTTTGACTGTATTGTACTTCCATTGTTTATATCTTAACTTAAAACTAATCCAGAGGGGAAGTGATGGCTATACAGTTTTAGTGGCAAAGAAAAGTTAACTTAATGGAATGCAATTGTTTTCTGCACGATAGTAAAATATGAAGAATAAAAAGGTAATTATTGACGACTGACCCGCCGCCGATTATTCGTAGAAAACGAATTTAAAACGCTGCAATTTCACTGTGACTCATATTGGACACTGTCATAGTTTGGGCAAATGTGTTAAAAAGTGGTTATTTTTTAATTAAACCGAACCTAACCTTAGTTGATGAGAAAAACAAGCGGTAAAAGCATTGTTAGAAGACCTCACCGACCTACCCAAGAAACTATCTAACCTTACCTAACTTCCTAAGCGTGAAAACATGTGGCTCATAAACGTACACTGGCAACTGCCATTGATCAGAGAGCGACAGTGAGTTTTGAAATGCATCAATATAATTATTGGCTGTTTACACTTGGCGATACAGCGTTACAACCATATTACCGCCAAGAAGACAAAGTAGTGTGCCCCTAGGCGCCTAATTGTCTACCGTACAAATCATTTTCCAAAGAAATGATTATCATATCAGAACTGACTGATGAAAATACAATAAGAAAACAACATCAAAACAAATAATGTGTCGGCGGGTCAGTCATCAATACTAGCCAAGAAAAATAATAATAATGTGTTACTGTATCAATATTGTGTATGTCATGATGAACTGATGATTAAAGTGTGTGGAGAAAACTTGATAAACTACAATACAATGGAGATCAGAAGCAGGAAAAATGATGTTATTACTCTGAATTAATGAGGAGAGAACAACACTCACAAGATCAGGTTAGGTGCGAGGCGAAATAAGAAGGGATTGGATATCACGTACTGCTGCTGGAGTACGAAGATAAATGAGTACAGAAGCAATATTGATTACAGTAAACCCTCTCAAAAACAGACTTCCCAATAAAGTAAACCCTGCCGATAGTGGATATTCTCAATAACAGAATCCTCCCAAAAATGGACAGGGCTTGCAAGAATTAGTCTGGTAATGGAAGGGTTGACTGTAATGAGCAGTGTCCTCTGTATACAGATGTAGGTACGATGGACAACTCCTACACTCCACTCACTCAGATATATTGTACAGTATGACACAGTCTGAGCTGAGAGACATGCTTGTTGTAAGTCAGATTAATGGATAAGGCTGCACCAAAAATCTTTCCTCACTTGCAATCAATTACAGTATACATTAAGTGGATCAAAGTAATATGCCTATATACTGTACACTGTAAAATTATATAGGTTTTTAATGCTTGATAAGACTATACTGTAAATACAATACTGTATCTACTGAAGAGGTGCTGAAGAAGATGATAACACTGAACTTATCGCTGTCATTCAAAATACAATTCATGATTTGTGGATGAACCCGACCCAGAAGTACATGCTGTTAAATCTGTACAGTACCTCACACTGCACAACCACCACACATTATACTGTACAAACTTCTCCTCAACACTGACAAGATGCAGAATCACAGTGAAGTAATGTTCTACAGTACTGTAGACAAAATTAAATAAAATCCCTCACAAATAGAAATTATACATATGAAACACTTTATCTCTCGTCATTGTGAATAATTAAAGTTCTACATACTTAATGCAAACTGTAATTATAGTATACATTATATATAATGTACAGTATAAATATATGCAAAGAGCTCCACTGGTAAACTAAACACATACCCAGTGGCCATAAGGCTACGTTTCAACAGACCTGAACTTGTCTCTGTAACCTTAACCCTGTTCCTAGATGTACTGTACTGTACTGTAGGTGACCTTACAGTCGACACATAAGGGAGAATTGTTAAGTCAATACTACATGCAGTTTCATATTTGTTATAATTGTTCAGTTCTGTTTATGTTAATTACCATCAAATAATATAACTGTAGACCAACAACGGTGAGGGTAACACCTCCACACAGAAACAAGTGATTTTACAGGAACTGCTAAATTATACTGCTGCACCATACAGCTCAGGGAAATAGACTATTATGATGATGGTTCAATGGTCCACCAAAAGAACCTTTAGTGTGTATCAGTCTTTAAATAATATGCATGCATAGCAACAAGAACAAGATATAATTATATTTGATAGATATTTTAGCACAAACAAATTAATCACAAATTGTGTTTTTCTTGTTACAAAAGAACCACAATATACAAACTAATAGTGAAGCATCATCCTTGTTCATCTCTCACCTTAACAAGATAACCTTTGGATGAAATGAGACAATATAAGTATCAAGAGAAGTAATACCTGTACACCTGGGGATACAATAAAGAGCTGTGTTGCGACTACTGTAGTACAAACTCTTCACCATCCATTAAGAGTGAAAATGAAACTATGGCACTAATGCTTCACCACCACCACCACTCTCTGACTTCACCTCACATATTATTACATCCTACATCTTTTTCATTATTCTGTCTTTCTTTGTTAACCTTCCTTGTGTTATAATGCAGAAACAACCTTTAATCCTCTATAATGAAAGTAAAAAATGAGGCGTTTTAGTTTTTACCTGCATCAGTCAGCTCTACGAATATCAATCCTAAGACTGACTAACTGGTTGACCCGATCTACTACCGACCAGGTGGGATATAACCCGCCTTCGCTGTTGTTGCTCATGATAAGTTCTCTTCACAGACACAACACTGAACAGATGGATATAACCTTCAATACTTAATATATGATCCAGCTTCAACTACCTTACCTGAAAGCTCAAATATGCAACAACACATTGGTACTTAACTAAATTTCCATCTACAAGTTAAAATTAAGAATAAGGTCACTTGTCACAGTACAGTACAGTATTACTCTATTGTAATTACTTCCAGGGATTTTTATTTCTTTCTTCTGATACTCTCATGTTCTTTATAAACAATAAATAATGCATCCTTAGCTTGTGTTCCTAGTCACAAGATGAAGCAAAACCTTGATTGTTAACAGATTGATGCAGGAAATATAATTAATCCTACATGGTGATCAACATACACAGCACAACAAATAAATATTCAGGTGAAGCACAAGTCATCACACTGGCATGCAACCACAACAGTTACAGTTACATCCAAGATTATAACAAACAATTTAAGGTTCATTTTCCATACAGGAGCAACATATGAGGCACACCCATCCCATTAAGGAGTACTTTCCTCTCACACACTACACATTACTCCTCAAGGTGCAGAAGTCAGTCATTTTCAGTTAGGATGAGAGAAAATAGTGAGAGCACAACAGTGACATTAACACTACAGTAACATGACCAGACTTAAGGGGCACTACAGTGAGGTGAAGATGTAACTAACACAAGTCTGGCCTCTTGTTGAATCTATACAATTCACCACACAACAAAAAATGACCATAATACACTGTCCAATTTACTAGAGACTGAATAATCAAAGTATATAGTTTATGTGAAAGGAAATGTAAAGTTGCCCAAAGTCATAGATAATTTCTTAAAATTGTCCAAGAAATGACTTATTCTTACAAGAAGTTTCCCGCTCACTACTCGGTGGACCAGAATTTCCTATATCTTATTCATGAATTGTGTTGGTAGAGTAGAATAATTAGGACAGCCATTTGTATCTAGAAAAGTGATAGCCACATCTAGTAAGGATTATCCTGTACATAATTATTCCTTTAATATTTAAGACAGTCACATGTACACAAAATCACCAGAATCTTCCTTAAAGTCACAATATTTACATCATTCACCCTAAAACATAATGTTCCTCTAGAACAGGACTGGTGAACTTTCTAGTGTGCGCCCAAACTGTCGATAGTTGTCTGAAAAATTATCTCACATGCCCATGAGAATTTTGAGCAACAAATTACAGGTATCATTATTAACCTTATATCATTAATATTTTATATATTATTATTATATTATAATTATAACTAATATATAATTTATTGATATTTTACAAAGTTATTATGGAGAGAGAAGAGAGTAGCAGCTTGAAAGTATTCTTAAGAAGTCTGTTTAGGCAACCATTAATGCTTGTGAATGTTTTACATGGGGCAGTTTAGGAATTACATGCTATTCATAACTCACACTTCAGAAGAGGCAAAATTAATGACTTTTTGGTAATAATTAGGGACTTTGGGGGAAAGGGGGGGGGTGTTCTGCTGCTCAAAAAGGTTCTCTCAGGACCAAAGGGACAGTAGAGGGTGGGGCTGAGAGGGAGCCTAGTACAGTACAGTACATGAAAGCAGTACTGTTTTATTAACTTAGTATTCATTTTGTTTTACGAATACATTATTATAAGAGAGGGAGATTGAAATAAAGGCAAGCATTTTAGGAAGCCTGTTCAAAAAATTAATAATAATTCAATGTTCACTCACAAACAAGAGAACAACAACTACGAGCAGAACGAAACCAATGCCAACCGTTCACTTCTGCCACTACCTGAATACTGATTTTACCGGCAGGGACTTTAAAACATTTGTCCAGTCACATGATCCCCCAGCCAGCACCAGGCCAACACTTCTCATTGTATAAAAAAACTAATCACTCCCATGTGCCACCTTGGACACATAGGTTCCCCAGCCCTGCTCTAGGACCTAATCTCCTGTTTTTTGTGTGTTGGAAGCTACAATGAATGAAGAAAATATATCTATTTTTTCAATCTAACAAAATAAATAATGATGAGTGTTTTACCAATGTTCTTGTGGCACTTGATTAATAGAGTTTGGTCAATAATTTCAGTGTCTTATTAGGTAACAATCGGTCTAAATACACAAACTCTCATTACCAGTATGTGGATTATGATGACGTTACCAGTAATATCAAGACAAATTCAATGATGACAAATATGTGGAATGAAATTATGCAAAACTTTTAGTGTTCATTATGAGGAAATAAACTGATAACAAATATTATGTAGTGATGCCAAAGGAACACAATTAGTATGTCATGTTAACTCTATCGTCTTGACTCAGGAACTTAAGTACATCACCAATATGATTGACTGTGTAAACCTGACATGCTGAACAACATATTATTTTCTTTAATATTTACTCAGGTTCACAGCAGGACTTAAACTTCTCTGGCTTTGTAATACTCAAGAGGGACTCGCAGCTCAAAATTGTGAAGAAACAATGTCAATTTATTTATCCATGATGTTGAAAAAGAATAATTAGAGCCAATACTACAATGTGGTGAAATTTGGGTAATACTGGAACTTTATCACCATAATAAACCATTAACATTTGCTTCTGTACAAAACTGGGCTTCAACAGCTTATGGTACTAAACCAACTTGGACTAGTTAATAATAATAATAATAATAATAATAATAATAATAATAATAATAATAATAATAATAATAATAATAATAATAATAATAATAACAAAAAATGTGTTCACAATTTGTAAATAAATAATTTCCTTCTCAACAGCCCAGAGGAAATCTATTATACATTAATAAAAGATTAGAATGTCATCACCACGGACAACAAATTTTCTAGCAATTAATTAAAGTGTAATTTGTCTTTGTATTAGCAACTAGAGTGTAGTATGGAGGACGCTGGGCTAGTCACTATATGGTGTGTTCTGGTTGATGTTCAACTGATCCACAGATCTGTAAAAAAATAACACAATTTAACTATTACTAATTTATACAGCATCCATCTTCACATAAACAGGTACAGAGTATTAATTAAATTTACTAATGAGTGAAGTACAACCCACACCTGTACAGTATACTTCTACCACAATTCCTCTATAAGGTTCCCAACTACCACAACTCCTTTATAAGGTTCCCAACTACCACAACTCCTCTATAAGATTCTCAACTACCACAACTCCTCTATAAGGTTCCCAACTACCACAACTCCTCTATAAGGTTCTCAACTACCACAACTCCTCTATAAGGTTCCCAACTACCACAACTCCTCTATAAGGTTCTCAACTACCACAACTCCTCTATAAGGTTCCCAACTACCACAACTCCTCTATAAGGTACCACAACTCCTCAACTACCACAACTCCTCTATAAGGTTCTCAACTACCACAACTCCTCTAAGGTTCTCAACTACCACAACTCCTTTATAAGGTTCCCAACTACCACATCTCCTCTATAAGGTTCTCAACTACCACAACTTCTAAGGTTCCCAACTACACAACTCTCACTTCTACAACACACACCTCCTCTATAAGGTTCCCAACTACCACAACTCCTCTTAAGGTTCACCACAACTCCTTTCCCAACTACCACAACTCCTAAGGTTCCCAACTACCACAACTCCTCTATAAGGTTCCCAACTACCACAACTCCTCTATAAGGTTCCCTACCACAACCTCTATAAGGTTCCCCACCACAACTCCTCTATAAGGTTCCCAACTACCCAACCTCTAAGGTTCCCAACTACCTCCTCTATAAGGTTCCCAACCACAACTCCTCTATAAGGTTCCCAACTACCACAACTCCTCTATAAGGTTCTCAACTACCACAACTCCTCTATAAGGTTCCCAACAACCACAACTCCTCTATAAGGTTCTCAACTACCACAACTCCTCTATAAGGTTCCCAACTACCACAACTCCTCTATAAGGTTCCCAACTACCACAACTCCTCTATAAGGTTCCCAACTACCACAACTCCTCTATAAGGTTCCCAACTACCACAACTCCTCTATAAGGTTCCCAACTACCACAACTCCTCTATAAGGTTCTCAACTACCACAACTCCTCTATAAGGTTCCCAACTACCACAACTCCTCTATAAGGTTCCCAACTACCACAAGTCCTCGCCTCAGTCACTCTCCTGCACAAAAGATCATCTGGTGTAACCTAACGACATACAGTACAGTAGTTGCATGAAGTACTTACCAGTAAATTGTGCCAAGTTTTGTCACCGCTAAGTTCTCACCAAATTTTTCAACCTAACAAGACTAACAAATGGCCAAAGCTCAAGTTCCTGCAAGATTTTTTGAAGTAAGTTAAGTAGCTAATATGTTTTGGTCAAGTTACATCATAAAGCCACTCACACAGGGGAGGAAATAAGTCTACACAGCACAGTTCAGGTATCCCCTTATTTACAATGGGGTTAGGCTCCTGGCAACCTAATCACAGGTCAAAATATCATAAATCAGGATCATTATAACATGGGGTTCAATGGAATAGGTTGCTGACCAGACAACTCCCATATGTATCACCGAAGAAAAAAATCCTAGAATACAACTCGCACTACAACACAATTAAACGACACTGGCCACATCATTAAGAACAAGTCTGATTGTCATCACATGTCCCCTTCAAGGCTGAAGGTGGAGTGGAGACATCAACTAGAGTCCCACACAGACTTTGGGGAGTCTGAAGAGTAGGGTGTAGCCGTCATCCTGTCCTTAAAGATGGTGAGCAAAATGCTTGCCAGACATTTCCAACAATACACTACTCACTTCAGTCACAAAAACCGATAATGATGATGGGGACTAAAGTGTTTTATGAAGATGGGTGGGGATTATATTACTGACCTTCTGATGCAATGTTAGGTAGAGGTGGGGTGGGGAATTAGTGGGTCTCATGACCTGAAGATGTCTTGAATAAAGACAAAAGTTAAGGTATATTTGAGGCATGACGCTGCTAGCAAATACATTTATGGCTATAAAAAAGTGTTAAAAACTTTTATTCACAACATCTGCTTAATTGTGTCAGAGAAATGAATTTGGCACCATTGCATATATGGAGATGAGTTCCCGATAATATTTTTTACCTTTGAGATATATACAGTATCGTGTGTGAAGGTCACAGTTATTAATAAACACAGATTATTATAGTTATTATCTTTAACCCTTTCACCGCATGTCACGCACTTGCCATTTTATTCTGGCTACCGCCACACGATTTTATTCAGCTTAGGGTAACCTCCCGCTGTGAACGGGTTAATAATTACTGAATAAAAATAAACAACATTGTATCATGAATGACAGTCATGAGTGAGAGTGGCAGTGGGTGGGAGGCAATCCTTGGAGGAGAAACTGACTGCACTGTCCCTCCCTCACTCACTGCACCACCTCCTATACTCTAGCAACAAAGTGTACAGTATAAACTTTTATTTACAGTACTTGTTCTTTGTTAGAGAAATGAATGATACCATAATGGTCCTGAATAAATTCTCTACTGTTCAAATAATAACATCCTTAAACAAAATATTATGACATGATGATGGGGACTCTTATTCTTTTATGAGAAAAATCCATGAGAAATGTTTATAACGGAATCAATTAAATAAGTTCTAAATAAGCTATTAACACCATTTTTTATCAAAATAACCAAGAATAGTTTTTAAAATTTGCTTAAATAAATATATTTTAAAAGATGAATCTCACACGGATCAGTATTAATTTATGCTAACACCACTGTATACGAACAATATACTGTAAATACTGTAAACAAAATAATGCACAGTATTGTACAGTGTTCACCATGAGCCTTGTGATGGTGGTGTTGTAAGAGATTAGTGACCTGATGCAATGTAAGGTAACCCATTGTCCGGGTGAGGGATCAGAGTGCACAGTCACAACAAAAGCATTTCACAGTCACTAAAACAGAGTACAATGTGAACTTTAGTGATGTCTTCTCACTTTAAGGCAAAACAAAAAACACCAATAATGACCAATAAACACCGAGCTCCATTTCTTACACATATGTAACCAAGAAGAAACAATGGCTGGACCAGATGGCCACCGGGCGGTGTTCTGGTAGACGACGCCTCAGCTGACAAATGAAATGAGTGATACGTATGCCGAGTTGGCGGGATGACGAGCATCGTTAACGTGAGTTTGTTTACGTCGCAAATGGGGGAGTTGTCTTAATATTTCGGCATCGTTAACGGAAAATATCGCAGATAGGAACATTGCAGGTCGGGGGATACCTGTACAGTATAAGGCTTTATGACAACACGTGCTGACTCACCTCTTGCCAAACTTGATGTGGATAATAAGGAATATAATGCCCAGCAGTAGACAAATACACCCAACAGTGATGTAAGCAATTCCTAAGAAGTTGTTCTTCCCTCCCAAGAAGCTGGTGGTTGACAGGATCATTCGCTTCTTCCCCCCGAACGAGTCCACTGGGTAGTTGTATTCCACCTCCAGGTAATACTGGCCCTTGGGGAAGCTAAACTTAAATCCGGTCATGTTGTGGTCAATCTTTCGGTACAATTTACGGAACGTGGGGAAGGCGGCGCTCCTCATCCACACGATCAGGTCCTCGTTCTTGTAGCCGTTGTTGCTGGGATCCTGTTTGTCTAGTTCATACACGTTCTTCGTCCAGTACGGTGGTTTAACGTTATTCTTGAAAGCTGGGAATAAAAAATAAATAAAAATAAAATTAATGAACACAAAAAATATAAAATAAATTCATACATACAAAGGATATTAAAAAGTTACAAATACTATATACAGTAATATCTTGTGTTAGGCAATTATCCATACCTTTAACTTCATACAGTACCAGAGGAGCTTCCATCTATTACTAAACTTCTCAATATGGAGTCTTAAGGGGTTGTGTTCTTAGCTCACAACAGTTAAATAAAGGGGTTGTGTCCTTAGCTCACAACAGTTAAATAAAGGGGTTGTGTTCTTAGCTCACAACAGTTAAATAAAGGGGTTGTGTCCTTAGCTCACAACAGTTAAATAAAGGTGTTGTGTCCTTAGCTCATAAGGTACATTATGTTGTAAGGGTCAAGCAGGCATACACCTCTACATAACCTGAACCAACACATTCTGTATATAATGTTTCATTCTCATTAACACTCTTGGGATCGCCTGAAAATTATTTAATGAGTCTGTCACTCACTCTGTTTGGAGATATTTTTTCCCCGTGTGCTATTGATGGCCGAGATAATGTCAAATATTTATTCAATAACGCCTTCCTATGTATAAAAATGCTGGGAAATAAAAAAAAACATAAAAAATATATTAAAGCCATTTTGGCAAGTATAAGTGAGAGTTTACTATTGATTCCTCTCTGTGCTGTACAGTATCCACATCATTACAGCAGTCAGTAGAAAAGACACATGACAAGAAAGAGTAAATCACAAGGAAGATGATGGTGTAATCAGAAAAAATATAATGTAAAAAGTAATGGAATAACAGAATAAAATATAACAATAACTGGTGGTCAGGAGCAGTTGCTGAAATATTCATACACTTTTTTCCTTTCTAGTATTTTTTTTTCTCAGAATCTTTTGAAAGTATTTTTCTGTGAAGGATTATTACTGTACACATACTAAGGAAGAGAAATAGACCAGTTAGAAGTTTCTGCAACAAAAACTGAAATTTTGGCAATAATATTTCCACTTACCACTCAGACGAGATAGGCCTTGGCATATGGACGACAATGGTGATGGCGTTACAAATATGTATTAAATAAGCACAATATATTCATAACAACTCACCATATGTATGCCTCTACTGCACTACATTTGACGATCACAGATTATTTCCAAGCTAGGCCTGTACAGTAAACCCTCGAAGATCCAGACAAAAAATTTGGGGGTTCTGGGCTAAGAAGCCTCCTAGAAGTTTCCCTAAGAAGCATTCCCAAACCAGAGCAAAGAATATTTTAGGCCCGTGGGCGCTGCTTGACCCGTCAGCTGCTTGGACACAGGTGCCTGAGGAGGCGGGAAACAAACAGAGTTGACAATTGTTGTTTGTGGGAATATTATTTCATTCACTCTAGTAAAGATACAATGTTTCTTATTATGTATCATAGGTAAATGCTTGGTTCATCGATCTGTTTTTCACAACATTAGTATTGTATTTCTGGTGTTTCTTATATCATTTATTATTCACTGGAAAATTCAGACAATCGGCTTTTCCGGACTGGTGTTCACCCCATTTAGTCCGGATCTTCGAGGGTTCACCGTATATGTATGATGATAAGCTCTTGTGTGGTATTGTGAGTAGCCATTTCACCAACATCTCATAAAATATAAACTATTTCACTATTTCATTATAAATATTTCAATACACATCACTCTATCACATCGTAAGAATAGATATCGAGGTTGTAAGTAAGAAACATCTTGATATAGCGGCACAAACACCACGGTGGCCATTTATAAATCGTGCTTGGGATCACACACACTGAGGCAGAAGCATTACTGGTGTTTGTTGTCTGGTACCACATGGTCCACCACACATAGGAGGGTTGCCACCTAGCCTCAACACTTGGATCCGTGCAAGAGAGTGGCGTGACAAAGGTGCCGTTAAAATTTGAAGTAATTCGACCAGAAATTTTGGAGGAAAATAAAAATAAAAAATAAAATAAAAGAATAATAAAAAAGGCGTGTCTGATCACACGGCAAGAGTGTCATTTACATTAAATCAAAACGCCACTCGTGTGTGTGTATGATCCCGAGTGTTAACTTCCCTACCTCATCACTGTTTTAGTTCATGGGAAGTTTCCAAAGCTTTGTCTATTGGTTTCAATAATGAAGATAATTAAATTAATGAATTGGCAACTCAACTACAACCACAGCTGCCTCAAGATTCTAACATCAAAATTTCTTCATTATTCAAACAAATATACAAACATTTGGAAACTTCTCATGTTGTAAAATAATTATGAATAGTTTATTATTATGAAGACGTCACCAATAGTTTGTTTAATACTTATCCTGACAGTGATACAACCAAAAACAGATCCACCAATCACCTTTACATACAGCCTTCCTTTACCAAGTATTGTCAGGTACTACTGTGAGCATGAGACTCATGGTGGGGCTGCTGGACCTTTGGCTGACTGTACATACTGAGTTAATTAAGTGTGCATACCGAGTTAATTTAGCACACCCACCCACCCACACACACTAATGAACTAGAATTGTTTGACCATTAATAATAGCACTATTTATGTAGACTACACTGTACCTCCAGTTGAATTGAGACTTCCGGGGGGGTTGTTGAACTTGATCTTGCGGTCTGATGGCCACGCGATGCCTGTTTTAATCAGGTTCAGCTCCTCTGCCTGGCCACCCAGCTTTATTTCAAAAAGTTTCAACGTATCTGTGATGAAATACAACACATGAGTAATAAATATTAAACACTTCTCTCTCTCTCTCTCCCACACGGTAACCTCCCTCCCCCCCTCCCACACGGTAACCTCCCTATCCCTCCCACATGGTAACCCCCCACGCCTCCCACATGGTGTAACCTCCCCATCCTCCCACACGGTAACGCCTCCCCCTCCCACACGGTAACCTCCCCATCCTCCCACACGGTAACCTCCCCACGCCCCACCGGTAACTCCCATCTCCTCCCACACTGTAACCTCCCCATCCCATCCCACACGGTAACCCTCCCCTATCCCTCACACGGTAACCTCCCTATCCCTCTCACACGGTAACCTCCCTATCCTCCCACACGGTAACCTCCCTATCCCTCCCACACGGTAACCTCCCTATCCCTCCCCCCCTCCCACACGGACTATAACCAAGTAATTTAACCTTCCTGCACTGTACTGTACTGTACTAGTGAAGGGACCTGCATACCTAGACCTTCTGGAACACCATAAGAGATATTCTACTCAGTAACTCTCAACATAAAACATCTCTTGAACTAAAACAACTGCAACACCTCTAACTCCTACACCACCACGATGCCATTTTTAACATCATATTTGCCACATGATTTTGTTCAGGTCAGGTAACACAGACTCAAGGGGTTAAGTCGATTTTGTTCAAAGTTATATAATATTCATGTTTTTCACAACAAATGTAAGACACAGCACAGTACAACACAGTACAGCATGGTACAGCACAGCACAACACAGTACAGCACAGCACAACACAGTACAGCATGGTACAGCACAGCACAACACAGTACAGCATGGTACAGCACAACACAACACAGCACAACACAGTACAGAGATTAAAAGCACAGACAACAAGAGTACAGCATGGTACACAGGACAGCACAGCACAAACAAGGAGCACAGCATGGTACAGGACAGCACAGTACAGCATGGTACAGCACAGCACAACACAGCAAGTACAACATGGCACAGCACAGCACACAAAACAGTACAGCACAGCACAACACAGCACAGCATGGTACAGCACAGTACACCACAGTACAGCATGGTACAGCTATGCAGCACAGCACAACACAGTAGAACACAGTATTAGCATGGTACAGTACAGTACCGTACAGTACAGTACAGCACAGTACAGCACAGTACAGCACGATAATTTATAACAGCATGGTACAGTACAGTGCAGCAGCACAACACAGCACAACACAGTAAAGCATGGCACAGTACAGTACAGCACAACACAGTACAGCATGGTACAGCACAGTACAGCAATGTACAGAACAGCACAGTACAGCATGGTACAGTACAGCACAGCACAACACAGTACAACACAGTACAGCATGGTACAGTACAGCACAGCACAACACAGTACAACATGGTACAGTACAGCATGCTACAGAACAGTACAGTACAGCATGGTACAGTACAGCACAGCAAAACACAGTACAGCATGGTACAGAACAGAACAAAACAACAAAGTACAGCATGGTACAGTACAGCACAAAACAGTACAGCAAAGTACAGAACAGTACAGCATGGTACGGCACTGAACAGAGATACAAACTGAGGCCTTGGTGGGTGAATGAAGTGTCTGATGGGTGCACCAAAAACTAGTTCCCTGTACTGCAATTATGTTAAATAAGTGTTAAAATTACTAAAAAAAATTAATATAAAACTTGGAAAATTATTGAATAGTACAACCTTCTTGATATTTACTCCAATTTTAACGACTGTAAGCCCTAGAACTGATTTCTGTATTGGCGGACTAATCTTCCAGCTGGTGAGCAAGCCAAAACATGTCATAACATTTTCGTAAGAATTTCGTTAACCGAAATGAAGATTCATATGGAAGGTAATTTGTTAACCGAAATTTCGTTAACCGAGGCATTCGTTAACTGAGGGACCACTGTATAGTACAGTAAGTTACAGTACAGTATGGTAAGTTACAGTACAGTTAGTACAGTACACTACATTATGTTACAGTACAGTACAATAAGTTACAGTACAGTATGGTAAGTTACAGTACAGTTAGTACAGTACACTACATTATGTTACAGTACAGTACAATAAGTTACAGTACAGTAGAGTAAGTTACAGTACAGTAGAGTAAGTTACAGTACAGTAGTTACAGTAAGTTACAGTACAGTAAGTTACAGTACAATATTTTACAGTACAGTACAATAAGATACAGTACAGTAAGTTAGAGTACAGTTAAGTTACAGTACGTTACAGTACAGTAAGTTAGTCACAGTATAGCACAGTAAGTTACAGTCAGTACAGTACGGTAAGTTACAGTACAGTAAAGCCACACCATAAGCTGTTATAAGTGGCCTGGTTTACACATGTGTTGGTAAGAATTAACACTGAGTTATTATTCCCATAAAACTGTACACCCATAAAGCAAGAAGTTAAAACAAATACAATATAAAAAAATAATGTAGGAAATGCCTCCAGCAAGAACAATGTTAGACTCAGTTGTACTGTACTGTACAGACTCACACACAACTAACATCCCCTCTCACTCTCATCCTGTAAATGACAAACAATAACTTAACGAGCGTAAACTTCCCTAACTTACACAGATACAAAAACCAGACGTTATTTTCTTTCTTACCGTTAAACATGGAGTTGGCGATGGCCCCACAAGGAGCGTACACCATACCCTCACCATCAGTGCCAAAAGGACTACAATCATTGGAGACGGCCGTGTCGTCTTTGCCCAGCAGTTGCTTGTCGTCGCGAGACTTGACGTACCGGCGATGGTTCTGGTAGAAGTTGTCTAATCCATAGTAAAGGTAAACCTGTAAAGGAACACAACATTCATATAACAATAATTACATTGATGAATGGAACACTTAGAATGTTTATTTCCAACCTCCTTAACTCAGTACAGTACAGTGCCATACTGTACACCAAGCTCGTCCACAATACAAAGTTAGAGAGAGATCATCTTGTTGACTCTCAGCCATCTAGTATGCCTCATGTTGCCATCAGTAGATCCTACACATTCATAGTTTCTGAGTTTGTGAATTTAAAAATTCATAATTTCATAAAAATATATATGAGCTCCCCATTCATGATCCCTAACCTCTAGTACAGCAATCTCCCTGTGACCCAGAATCACCACTCTCAAAATTCTCCAATAGCCCCAATATTTTTCAGGAAAAATTCTCTCAATCCTGAGTCAGCGAATGAGGGAATATAAATCTATTTGTACACAAGAAAAATTGTACCTACCCCTGTCGGCAAATGTTTTTCGTGGATTTGGCGATTCGCTGCCATTTTGAGAACCTAACCCCCGCGATTTTTTTTTTTTGGGGGGGGGGGCTGTACTGTATTTTTAAGTCAAATCAATTATTATAGAGTGAACCCTCTAAGGTCAGGACTAACAGGGAGGACCACCTGTCAGAAAAAGCTGTTTGTCCAGATCTTCCGGGAATGTATTAAATGTATAAAAAACAATAAGTAATATCTCCATAAGCCAAAACCCTTCAAACCCGGAACTCTCCAATAGCCAGAATTAAAATTTTCTCGAAAATTTGTCCCCAAGGCAGGAATTTTCTGGACAATTCCGGCTTTGAAAACAATTTTCCGAGGGGCACATTTTCTGGAATATTCTGATTAAAATTACCCCATCCCCGGAAATTTCCGGGGATGGGGATTCTTTCCGTCTTTGTGAGAGTCGTCTTGTGACCTGGAAATCACTCATTCTCGGAAGTGCTTTGCACCAATTGATCCGGCTAACGGACATATCACTAATGAAAAATAAGCACCAAAATACAGTACAGGTACTGTATTTTATGGTATTAAAGGGCATTTACTTAAAAACTTTTGTGTATCCATAGTTTTCTTAAAATAATATACCTATACAGTACCAGTAAATGTGAGAAATAAATAAAAATAATACTGTACCAATAAATAAGTCATAACAAAAATACAGTACAGAACTGTATTGCTAAATCAGTAAATAAAAGCTATTTGCATACACTTCCCACCATAGTAATGAAGACTAGCTGGGAGGCTCCTACACTCTGTGCTCTCCTCCCATTACGTGTTTGCCCTTAGGACAATTATTTCTTTTACTTTTTCACAATATGTACGTAGGATGGTGTGTGCATGTAACCGCGTAAAAATAGATGAAGTAAGTTACGTATATCAACCCGAAAATACAAGTTGAAAAACAGCCATAACACCTCATAGCTTCGCCCAGTAGCCAAGTAACGAGCTAACCTAGCTACAATGCCATGAATAATCACTATTATGTCAGTAAACATTATTAATAACAGTATATCCAGTGAAATATAGGAGGGAGTGAGAAGAGTTACAAGAGCAGACGACGCTGTAACACGTGTCACTCACTCGCTCCCGTTGCCAGGTGGACACTCTAAATATGTGTGGAAGAAACACGTGATGGGCACAGTGATAAACAGATCAATAAACCATACATTTACCTATGATACATAATAAGAAACATTGTATCTTTACTAGTGATTGAAATAATATTCCAACAAACAACAATTGTCAACTCTGTTTATGTTTCCCGCCTCCTCGGGCACCTGTGTCCCGTGTGCCGACATCTTAGTAACACGGATGATCCACATAATAAGAACACAAATTTAGTATCTTTACTAGTGATTGATGAATAATATTCCAACAAACATGTTACAATTGTCACACTCTGTTTATGTTTCCCGCCTCCTACACGGTTGCAACTGTGGTACTGTTGTGTGACAACACCTACAACTGTGGTGTGCCGACATCTTAGTAACACGGACCTTATGTGCATTACTTTACTGACAACACCTACAACCACCACAAGTCTCCCTAAAGATAAAGAAATAGGCTTGACAGTTATAACATATGAGAAGAACAGCAACCCTGACCTGTTTGCTCTTAACCCTCTCAGCCTGGGAGCCTGAGACACACACACATGTATGAAAACTTACGCTCAGCCTTGGAAGATTTTCCCGATTTTTTTTTTAGGGTTCATTTCATGGCCATGGAATTGTTTTATTAATTGTAATGAGGTCTCTTCTAGCATAAAACTGTCTGAAAAATTGTATGAAACCATAAATAATTGACAAATTTTTAAATTCAAGCCATTTTTTTTCCAAGTATGAGTTGAAAAAGTAGGAAAAGGTTTAGTAACATCTTGATTTCCATTCACATTTTCCTTGTAGTATGGTGTTCAGTGATATGTACTATATACCAAAATAAAGAACAAAGCCTGTAGAATATTGTGGTATACTAAGGTAAAATAACATAAAACAAACTCATGAAACAATTAAAGGGCTGAGCAGCGCAGTCTCCTCTCTCTCTAATGGCCAGAGCTACACTGGCTTCATGCTGCGCTGCCATGCACACAACCAAGACCATCTAGGGGAAGGTGATAAGGCCCACACAAAGAAAGCGACAACTGTCAAATGGCATCCAAAGTTTAGTCAGTTTCACTGAATAGTTTTGAGTTATTTGAAAATATAGCCATTGGACGCCGCGAGGCTGAGCCTAAGTTTTTTCACCCTTTATGTTCGACGCCATTCGTGAGAAGCTGAGAGGGTTAATGGCTGTCACCTGTTGACTAAAACTCGAAAATGGCAGAGTGGCTCAGTGATGGCAAAGAGCAGTGTTGGCCAAGTAAGTGTTGACCGTGGATGAGACAGAGAGGGGGCAGGTGATATGACTTAAAGTTAACAATACATGTCAAAAGAAGAAAAAATAAGAGGAGAGAATAAAAGAAGAATAAACAAGAGATAAACTAACTCATCAAAGGAGAACTTAATTACTTACATTCTTCTCAAAAGATTCATAAACGGTGAAGTTTTTCTGGCAGGTGCATGTCTCCGAGATGTTGTCTTTAATGACATCTCTGCATGCCCTTGGTTCACCTTTCTCCATGTGTGTTGTACTCAAGCAATCTGTATAATCCAGCTGTAATTCTTGCACCTGAAATTAATACTGTATATAATTACACAAACATGATACATTATTCACAAGTACAGTATAACTAATATACTGTACAGGGTGTCCCAAAAGTCTCTTTCCTGTTTTAAATATTTATTACTTAAAACAAAAGTGATATAGTAATCCAGTTTGTTGCATCATATTCCTTAGTTAATAGAGTTTTCTTTTCAGGTGTAGTGGTATTATCTTGGTGGAGAAGATAAGGAGTAACAATGACGTCTAGTGAAGGGAAAGAGCAACTCATTGACAAGAGTGCAAAGACAATACCGCCAGAGGTATGGTAAAGAGCCACCCTCAAAACCCAGCATTAGGGCAGGTTTCAAAAGTTTCTGGAAACAGGCAGCGTTTGTGACCTGTCCTGAGGCGGACGCCCAAGGATGTCTGAAGAGTCCATTGAATCTGTTCGGGAAGCATTCCAACTAAGTCCTAGAAAGTCAGTTCGCGCTGCATCAATGGAGCCTCATCTACCTAGGACATCTGTACATCGAGTACTCCATAAAACACTGAAATTGCATATTTATAAAGTGGAGATAGTCCAAGCCTTAGAGCCTGACGACACATTCCACTTTCCCTTCACTAGACGCCATTGTTACTCCTTATCTTCTCCACCAAGATAATACCACTGCACCTGTAAAGAAAACTCTATTAACTAAGGAATATGATGCAACAAACTGGATTACTATATCACTTTTGTTTAAGTAATAAATATTTAAAACAGGAAAGAGACTTTTGGGACACCCTGTATATAAAGCAGAGCAATTAGTGATGGAATGACACACCGCTCCCTTTACTGAGCCTAATGTAAAGCCTGACTGCCTCCCAATAATAGGTGTGGGTAGTAATAGTAATAAAAAACAACCCATTAGCACAACCATTAAGTACACGGGTCAAAAGGTATACGAACACTCCTGGAGAAGAAGAGGAGGGCAGCACCGAGGGGAACAAAGAGGAGACCGATGAGGAAGAAGGCGGGCAACACTGTGTCGGCTGTCAGGATGGGCTGCCATGCTGGTAGTCGCTGCTGCTTGAACTTCTGCTTGAATTTGGAATCTGAAAAAAATAAATATATATAAATAAAATAAATTAAATTATAAGACTCATCAGTTTAACATTTGAGAAGCATGAAAGAGTGAAGTCCAACATTTAACATCATAACCTAACTGTAAGTCCAACATTAACACATGGTACTGAACAAGAGTCACATTACCCAACAGCTACACAGTATAATACAGTTGAGCACCACAATAAGTCCTCCCAAACTTAACCTAACCAAACTTCTGTGGCAAGACCTAACCTCCCTGGCACTACCAAAACCCCTTCCCTTCATTAAGCAAAATACTCATAACCAGGAAGACTTTATATGGTTCGACTCACACTCGGTAAATAATTCAAGAGCAACTACCACCACCCAGCTTAATATATCAGAAGCCTTTGCATCTGATTAGGATTACTATTACTGATTTACCGAGTTCCTGAAAAACTTTTGGTAAACCCCTGTACAGTTTCCCATACAAATATACTTTCCCAACGTATTGTATATTAAAATGTCATATACCAGTATACCTGTACAATAAAAAAAATACTTATTCCAACATATATTCTAAACTTATGAAAATAGTGAAGAAAAGTAGTAGGTGTCATCTCCTCACCTGGCGGGCTATAATGTGAGTACCTATTAGGTCTATCCATTTCCCGAAATGTAATGTGATTCATATGACCCCTGGGTAGCTAGCTCGGAAGATAGTCGTTAATAAATGAAGAACCATTAGTTGTCAATTCCTTTGTGTTGACTAAAACATATCATGCATGTCTTTGGTGTTATACAGTGAGCCTTAAATAATAAGTACTTCAATATTTCTCCTGTGAGGTGTTGTATCTTAGTTCCCCTGACCGGCCTCCCCTTGGTGGTGTGTGAGGGGCCCCTACAGTCCTACCCCTCACACTGACCATAAACAAATACCTTCCTCGGCTCATAAGTATACGAGTACAACGAACACAGAAGAAAAGAGAATTGGATAATAAAGAAAAAAAGTTAAGAAGTAAGAATGAATAAATAAATAAATAAATAAATAAATATATAAATAAAAAGAATTAAAACGACAATATATGAGGAATTTGTTACATAAAATATGTTACATTCTGTTAACAGTAAGAAGGAAGACATAAGTTCTGTTAACAGTAAGAAGGAAGACATAAGTTCTCCTGTTAACAGTAAGAAGGAAGACATAAGTTCTCCTGTTAACAGTAAGAAGGAAGACATAAGTTCTGTTAACAGTAAGAAGGAAGACATAAGTTCTGTTAACAGTAAGAAGGAAGACATAAGTTCTCCTGTTAACAGTAAGTTCTCCTGTTAACAGTAAGAAGGAAGACATAAGTTCTCCTGTTAACAGTAAGAAGGAAGACATAAGTTCTCCTGTTAACAGTAAGAAGGAAGAAGACATAAGTTCTCCTGTTAACAGTAAGAAGGAAGACATAAGTTCTCCTGTTAACAGTAAGAAGGAAGACAAGTTCTCCTGTTAACAGTAAGAAGGAAGACATAAGTTCTGTTAACAGTAAGAAGGAAGACATAAGTTCTCCTGTTAACAGTAAGAAGGAAGACATAAGTTCTCCTGTTAACAGTAAGAAGGAAGACATAAGTTCTCCTGTTAACAGTAAGAAGGAAGACATAAGTTCTCCTGTTAACAGTAAGAAGGAAGACATAAGTTCTCCTGTTAACAGTAAGAAGGAAGACATAAGTTCTCCTGTTAACAGTAAGAAGGAAGACATAAGTTCTGTTAACAGTAAGAAGGAAGATATAAGTTCTCCTGTTAACAGTAAGAAGGAAGACATAAGTTCTCCTGTTAACAGTAAGAAGGAAGACATAAGTTCTCCTGTTAACAGTAAGAAGGAAGACATAAGTTCTCCTGTTAACAGTAAGAAGGAAGACATAAGTTCTCCTGTTAACAGTAAGAAGGAAGACATAAGTTCTCCTGTTAACAGTAAGAAGGAAGACATAAGTTCTGTTAACAGTAAGAAGGAAGACATAAGTTCTCCTGTTAACAGTAAGAAGGAAGACATAAGTTCTCCTGTTAACAGTAAGAAGGAAGACATAAGTTCTCCTGTTAACAGTAAGAAGGAAGATATAAGTTCTGTTAACAGTAAGAAGGAAGACATAAGTTCTCCTGTTAACAGTAAGAAGGAAGACATAAGTTCTCCTGTTAACAGTAAGAAGGAAGATATAAGTTCTCCTGTTAACAGTAAGAAGGAAGATATAAGTTCTCCTGTTAACAGTAAGAAGGAAGACATAAGTTCTCCTGTTAACAGTAAGAAGGAAGATATAAGTTCTCCTGTTAACAGTAAGAAGGAAAGAAGGAAGATATAAGTTCTCCTGTTAACAGTAAGAAGGAAGATATAAGTTCTCCTGTTAACAGTAAGAAGGAAGACACAAGTTCTCCTGTTAACAGTAAGAAGGAAGACATAAGTTCTCCTGTTAACAGTAAGAAGGAAGATATAAGTTCTCCTGTTAACAGTAAGAAGGAAGACATAAGTTCTGTTAACAGTAAGAAGGAAGATATAAGTTCTCCTGTTAACAGTAAGAAGGAAGATATAAGTTCTCCTGTTAACAGTAAGAAGGAAGATATAAGTTCTCCTGTTAACAGTAAGAAGGAAGACACAAGTTCTCCTGTTAACAGTAAGAAGGAAGACATAAGTTCTCCTGTTAACAGTAAGAAGGAAGATATAAGTTCTCCTGTTAACAGTAAGAAGGAACATAAGTTCTCCTGTTAACAGTAAGAAGGAAGACATAAGTTCTCCTGTTAACAGTAAGAAGGAAGATACAAGTTCTCCTGCTAACAGTAAGAAGGAAGATATAAGTTCTCTGTTAACAGTAAGAAGGAAATATTGAGAAGTCTCTCCTGTTAACAGTAAAGGAAGACATAAGTCTCTGTTAACAGTAAGAAGGAAGATGAGTAAGTTCTCCGTTAACAGTAAGAAGGAAGATACAAGTTCTGTTAACAGCAAGAAGGAAGACATAAGTTCTCCTGTTAACAGTAAGAAGGAAGACATAAGTTCTGTTGTTAACAGTAAGAAGGAAGACATATGCGCTCCTCCTGTTAACAGTAAGAAGGAAGACATAAGTTCTCCTGTTAACAGTAAGAAGGAAGATAGGGTGCCTCCTGTTAACAGTAAAGAAGGAAGATATAAGTCTTCCTGTTAACAGGTAAGAAGGAGACATAAGTCTCTGTTAACAGTAAGAAGGAAGACATAAGTTCTCCTGTTAACAGTAAGAAGGGAAGACATAGTTCCCCCCTGTTAACAGGAGAAGGGAAGACATAAGTCTCCTGTTAACAGTAAGGAAGGAAGATAAGCGTTTCCCTGTTAACAGTAAGAAGGAAGACATAAGTCTCCTGTTAACAGTAAGAAGGAAGACATAGTTCTGTTGTTAACACAGTAAGAAGGAAGATGAAAGCCTCCTGTTAACAGTAAAGGAAGATGGTTAGTCTCTGTTAACAGTAAGAAGGAAGACAAGTTCTCCTGTTAACAGTAAGAAGGAAGATATGTTCTCCTGTTAACAGTAAGAAGGAAATATTATAAGTTCTCCTGTTAACAGTAAGAAGGAAGATGAGAAAGCCTCCTGTTAACAGTAAGAAGGAAGACATAAGTTCTCCTGTTAACAGTAAGAAGGAAGATATAAGTTCTCCTGTTAACAGTAAGAAGGAAGACATAAGTTCTCCTGTTAACAGTAAGAAGGAAGATATAAGTTCTCCTGTTAACAGTAAGAAGGAAGACATAAGTTCTCCTGTTAACAGTAAGAAGGAAGACATAAGTTCTCCTGTTAACAGTAAGAAGGAAGACACAAGTTCTCCTGTTAACAGTAAGAAGGAAGACATAAGTTCTCCTGTTAACAGTAAGAAGAAGACACAATTCTCCTGTTAACAGTAAGAAGGAAGAAGTTCTCCTGTTAACAGTAGAAGAAGACATAAGTTCTCCTGTTAACAGTAAGAAGGAAGATATAAGTTCTCCTGTTAACAGTAAGAAGGAAGACATAAGTTCTCCTGTTAACAGTAAGAAGGAAGACATAAGTTCTCCTGTTAACAGTAAGAAGGAAGACATAAGTTCTCCTGTTAACAGTAAGAAGGAAGATATAAGTTCTCCCATTAACAGTAAGACATAAGTTCTCCCATTAACAGTAAGACATAAGTTCTCCCATTAACAGTAAGACTTAAGTTCTCCCATTAACAGTAAGACATAAGTTCTCCCATTAACAGTAAGACATAAGTTCTCCCATTAACAGTAAGACACAAGTTCTCCTGTTAACAGTAAGACATAAGTTCTCCATTAACAGTAAGAAGGAAGACATAAGTTCTCCTGTTAACAGTAAGAAGGAAGACATAAGTTCTCCATTAACAGTAAGACATAAGTTCTGTTAACAGTAAGAAGGAAGACATAAGTTCTCCTGTTAACAGTAAGAAGGAAGACATAAGTTCTCCCATTAACAGTAAGAAATAAGTTCTCCCATTAACAGTAAGACAAAAGTTCTCCCATTAACAGTAAGACATAAGTTCTCCCATTAACAGTAAGACATAAGTTCTCCCATTAACAGTAAGACTTAAGTTCTCCCATTAACAGTAAGACTTAAGTTCTCCCATTAACAGTAAGACATAAGTTCTCCCATTAACAGTAAGACATAAGTTCTCCCATTAACAGTAAGACTTAAGTTCTCCCATTAACAGTAAGACTTAAGTTCTCCCATTAACAGTAAGACTTAAGTTCTCCCATTAACAGTAAGACATAAGTTCTCCCATTAACAGTAAGACATAAGTTCTCCCATTAACAGTAAGACATAAGTTCTCCCATTAACAGTAAGACATAAGTTCTCCCATTAACAGTAAGACTTAAGTTCTCCCATTAACAGTAAGACTTAAGTTCTCCCATTAAGTTCTCCCATTAACAAGACTTAAGTTCTCCCATTAACAGTAAGACATAAGTTCTCCCATTAACAGTAAGACATAAGTTCTCCCATTAACAGTAAGACATAAGTTCTCCCATTAACAGTAAGACATAAGTTCTCC